ATGCTGTGGCGAATCTTCCTCCTTTTTCATGAGTTCCAACTTGGTCTCGTTGGTCGGGGGTTCGACAGGCTCAGCCTTGGTAGTGTGAGGTGCCTCATCCTTCACTTCGATAGACTCTGTAGGAGTGCGATCCCAGTCCGGAGAGTCGTGGTCCATGGGGTGGTGAGGAGGCGGAGAGGGAGGCAGGTAGCGGCCCGTCGAGAGTTCAAATGGCTGCGGAGGAAAACGAGTGACTGCTGGAATGTAAGATGGAGAAAGTATGAGGGTAATTTGTTGTGCGGGTTTTTTATCCTGAGCAGAGCGTAATGTGTGAGACAAAGCGTTGTCGGGGCAGCCTCAGGGGGAGGATGACGGCGTGCCAGCGAGCATGTGGTAGGCCGCTGAGGAATTGGAAGCCGTCCAGAGTGCTTGATGCAAGTGTCCACGATGGCCATGAGCCGCGGGGGGTTGGTCTGGGATTGTCGGGTGTAGGTGGGTTGTGTGATTTGGTTGTGACGGTGTGGTGAGAGGGAGGCGATCTCGGGAACGAGACCTGTCTCTGCAGCGGAATCAGCGAATGAGTGGTGGTGTGTCGGTGGGTGGTGGTATGGCTGAGCCACGTTGTAAGGTGGCTGCGGAAAGGAAATTGGTTTGTTGTGGTGGGATGTCAAGTGTGGGGTCTATGCGGTAATGGCCAGGGGAACCTGGTGAACCAGGAATGTATTGGAGCCTGTTGAGCCCACGTTGGGCGTCGTGGGTGGTGTTGATCAAGTGTCGCAGGGTGTTGCGCAGCTGCAGAAAAAGTCTGTAGGCTGGTGTGTTGGTGAATGTAGACATTGGAGGGATTGGATCCTGCACAATTGGGTGATGTTGAAGATCCTCAACAAGTGAGGTGATAGTGCTGATCATCCAGTGGAGCAAGAGTAATTCGGGCTGGTGTGTCACTGATGGGGCCAAGTATGGCATTGGATTGTCCGGAAAGTAGTATCTGTGGTGTGTAGTGGGTGGGTCAGAGGAGATGGTAGTTGTCGCTGAATGGGGAGGTAGTGTGGTTCGTAAATCATCGCTAGGCATCATCTCGCAGAGGCGGCGAGCAGTTATGGAAAAACAGTTCGGTCAAAAGGCTGCGGGAAACATGGTGACATGTTGCGCTAGAGTGAGCCTGAGGGAATGAAAAACCCGAAGGTTCCGAAAAGAGTGGCGAAGGCAGAAGGACCTGAAAACAACTTGTCACTGCATGTCAAAGGATTTGTCCTGCGGCACGCCGGAGAGAAAGCGGGGTGAAACAGATCATATGAAATAACTGCCAACAGGCGTGTGTGGAGATTTCTCCGGATGACTGTTCTCACTAGGCGCTCGCTCAGCAGCCGGCGGCAGCAGCACAGCAGCTGGAGGTGATCGATGTGGTGAAGTCGGTGGTGTTGTCTTGGGAGAAGGGGAAAAATCCGGTTGTGAGTGTGGTGGTGGGGAAAATGCTGGTGAGGTGGGTGTTGGTGAGAGGGAAGGTACTTGTCGTGGTGGTTCTATTTGTAGTGGCGTGGAGGAGAGTTGCTGGTCTTGTAGATGTTGCATGTCTTTGAGTTCTTGCCATCGGGCTTGACATTGCTCGACGGAGAAACCCACTCGGCGAGCAACAGAAGCCCAGTTGGGACGGAGTCGAGGGTTCCCTTTGAGTTCAACCAGGCGGCAATCAGCGTCGCCGTCCCATGCGTCCCAGTCTGCTTGCTGGTTCGGTGGTGGTGGTAGTGGTTGCTTGCGCTTGCGTGTTGTAGCAGGTTGTGGAGCTGGGGCTGTTGATGGTGTGTCGTCGGAGTCTTTTGAGAGTGGCGCTGGTAAGCGGATGGGTGGTCGAGATGGTGCTGAATCACAGGAGGAGGTGGTGGACGGTAAACGTATAGGGTGAGTTGGCGGAGTTGGTAGTGGCTGAAAATGTTGGCGGAAAGTGGGATCCGCTTGGTGGATGTGGTGGAGAAAGTGAGTGTGAAGGTGTGCTACAATATCTGTTGCTTGTCTGAGCAGGTTTTGGACCTGCGAAAGTGCCACAGCGGTTTGATGCAAGAGAGTTTGGGTGTCATTGTGTGGAGGTGTCAGTGTGCTGCTCATGACTTGGAGATGGAGGGATGTACAGTCACACAGGGTCGTCACAGGTTGCTGCGGCAGCGCGCCAAGGCAGCAGGACGGCAGCTGGTCAGCAGGAGCACGTCATCACGGGGCCGTGCGTATGAATTAAACGAGCATCAAATTCCCGCGGGCGTGGTGCGAAAAATGCAGGTCCGACTGGAAGATCAAGCGCAGAAAACTCCAACATGTGAAGAAAACATCATCCAAACAGCAAGTGAAATTCGGAAAGAGATTCTGCAAACGAAACCCTCAGAGCTTGAAAAGTTGAAAGCGCAAAGTCCGCATGGCCGCTGTAAAGGGCTTTTTGCTGCTATAGGCGAAGGTTTGTGTGGTGGTGTGAGACAAAAGGTGGAGGTAGAGGTGGTAGTTGTGTGGAGGTGTTGGACGGTGGTGTTACATGTCGGGTGGAGTGGAGTCAGTGGACCAGGCCAGTCCTTTGACGATGGCGTGGTCTGGGTGGATCACCCAGCAGCGGCCCTTCTGGTGGAAGACGGCGCCGTGGTAATCGTTGAGGAGGTTCATGGCATGTTCTTCCCCTCCGGAGGTGTATTTTGTGGCGGCACCCCAAGCCAGGAGTGTGATGATGAGGGAGTGGGAGTTCTTGTGGAGTTGCCAGGTGTTGTGGATGATGCGAGCAAATTCGCTCTGATCACGGGGTTGATTGTGGGTGATGCGGACACCCTGGGCAAAAAAGCCAGGGTAGTTGGCAAAGTGAAGTGTGCTGGGTAAAAATCGACCTTGGCGTAGAATGTTGGCAATGTTGCCGACCGGGCCTGTGTGGCCGGCGTTGATGTGGGCGACTTCCCGGTGGGTTGATGTGGCTCGGGAAACCGCGGGTGGTTCAGGTGTGGTGGCCTTTGTGTTGAGGAAAGGAAGTGAGATGGCGTAGTATTGGAATTGGTCATATTGGCGAGTGGTGTCGTTCCACTTGGCGTGGGTATATTGCCGGAAATCGGTGATCTCCTTGTAGGTGATGTTGCAGTCGGTGAGGAGATTGGCAATGTACTGGTGCTGTGGTCGGTTGGGGGTGTCGAGTTGGTTGGCGTGGAATTCAAACCATTCTAGGAGTTGGTCTGCAGGTGAAAAAGTGTGAAAGTTGGGTGGAGGTCGCCAACGGTTGATTGGGCGACGAAGGACTGCTGTGGTGGGATATTGAGAGGGGTCGGTGTTGGTGTGTTCAGTGTTGGGGCGTAAGTCGATGGGTTGTGGTGAGCGGCTGCGGGATGGTGTAAGGCTGTATGTGTAAGTGGATGTTGAGGGTGAACGGCGTCGCCGGGTTGTGCTGTGGTGCTTTGAGTGGCGGTGATGTCGATGCCGGCGGCGGTGGTGGTGGCGTCCTCGGTGGTGATGATCGGACTTGCGCCGGCTCTTGTGGTGGTGGCGGCGACTGCTGTGTGGTGGCTGTGGGGAAGGTGGTTGTGGTGCCGGTGAGGCGGTGCTGTGTTGCAGGTAGTGAAGGCCCAGGAGCTGGTGGTGCTGATGCAATGGATGGTGATTCGGAAGGTTGGGAGCCAGTGGCTGGAGGGGTCACGTTTTGGACCGGTATTGAAGGGTCCGTGGCTGTTGTGGTGACGTGTTGGACCAGTGGTGTGGGGTCCGATGGTGCCTGTTGTGGGAGTGAGGGCTGAGCTGGTGGTGGGGCGCCGATGGCTTGTGGGGGGGGGCGGCGGAGGCAACGGTTGGGGTGGAGGCTGTGTGACTGGGGGAAAGACTGAGTAAGGTTGCCAAACTCCCTGGGGATGGTCTGTGGATGGATGATGGGCAACTGCTGCTTGTTGTGGTGTTGGAAGGGGTTGTGTCTGTGCAGTGGGGGTAGGTTCAGCAGGTGGTGTGGGATGTAGTTGTGGCAAAATGTATGAAGGGGAAGGTGCTGCGGATGGAAACACTGGAGTTGGGTGTGTGGGTTGCGGTGGCATTTGAGATGGTTGCACAAACGTCCAGGTGGACGGAGTGCCGTAGATTAGTGCAGTGGCGGTTGGACTGGGCAAAATAGGTGGTGCTTGAAATGGTTGTGGTTGTGGGTGAGGGTATGCCGATGGTTGTGGCGAGGGAAAGGTGGGTGCAGTTGGCGGCTGTGGCAGCGGCCATGTGGGTTGAGGTTGTGTGGTAGGTAATGGTGGTGGTGTAGCGTGAGCGTATGGCCATGGAAAATGCATATCGTAGTCGTCGCTATGGCACGGCGCGGCGCAGCAGCAAGGATGCGGCGGAAAAGTGCCGAGTTGTACTGTCATAATGTTGTTGAAAATCTCATCGCTCGTGTTGACGGGGAGTGTGTTGTAAGGTGGTGCTGGATGTGAGCTTGTTGTCAAGTGTGATCATGCATCTCGAGTTAGATTGGAGAACTCCAATGCACAAGCTTGAGTTCTGCTGATAAAAAGGTCACGGCATTAATATAAGATGGCAACATGTGGAAAAACAAGCATGAGAGATCCGAAATCTGATGTATTCGAAAGGGACCGTTTTTGGGCCCGGCGGCCATTGTATCGGTTGATTCGGTGAGGGTGTCGGTGACTGCCTGTGAGGGTCCAATGAGTGGTGGTGCTTTGGGGTGGTTGCTTTCCGATGTAAAACCGCGCCCCTGTGACGGGGATCACACTCAGCACCCGAGTGGGACGGCTGAGCGAAACACACTCTGACACTTGTATTCAGTGAACTCAGTTCCCACGCTGGGAAGGAAGGTGACAGAACTGCATGGTGAAGAGTCCGAAAGACTTGTAGGTGTTTCAACAAGTTGTTGGTCAAGTCTGCTGAACGATCGGTCGGCGCGGCTGAGCTGCAAGACAAACGCGGCAAGGGAAGGTTTTGGGGAAGTATCATGAAGAACCATGAACCAAAAACGTGGAAAGTGGAGTCACAGCTTGTGGAGAAATCGGCAGGTACACACCAAAGCGTCCTTTGGTGCTTCCCCTGTCACATCCTAGCTTCGTTGGGCCAGGTTGGATGTGACAGGCCTGGCCCCCCTGCCTGTAAGGAGTGGTGGTGGAAAACCCTTTGTCCAGGGGTGGACACACACACACACTCCCTTCTAGAGTTCTGCCTTTCTATCAAAAACGTTGCCTCTAAAACAGGCTTGGGAGTGAAACAATCAGAAACAAGCAGCGGACCAGCCGAAACAACATGAAACAACCAGCAAGCTGAGACGAAGGAATGTCCTGTCGAAGCGTCGGTGGATCTCTTGTTTTCACCGATTCGTTGGATGGCCGGCACAACTCCAAGGATCAACGCGGGGCACCGGGCTTTCGATGGGAAGCGGTGACCTGGATTGGCCGCCGCTTGGGGATTGGCACTGACATCGGGACGGCAAGCGAGCGATCCACTCGGCCAGGATTGGCCCTGCTACTGGTTCTCGTGGTCTTGTTGCTCCCGGTGATGTTGCTTTTGACTTCGCTGGAAGCCATGAGGGACTCTCAGATGCTATCGCCAGACTGGTGGGGGGGTTGCGTTTTGTCCTTGAGATATCGGTATAGCATAGGGAATTTTCGATGATGTTAGATTTAACATGAGTTGAGTTAACCTTTTACTTATTTGTGCAAGCATGTACAAGCCACCCCTCATCAACAAAGATGAGCACCCACTGACAGCTCCAGTAGGATGGGAGTCCCAATGCTTTCTCAAAGGTTTTTTTTCTTGGATGCTTAAAGGAGCTCTCACAGTGGGGGGTTGCATGTTTTGATCGGCATGGGTCCTTTTAAACAGATTTTCACCAGTATCACAACATCACCAACCCTTAACATCTCATGTCTCATGATGCTCTTTTGACGCTGTTCTTTTTTTAACGTACTTTCTTAGCCAGATCCACCGGATGCCTTTGTTTCAAGGCAAAGATTACACTCCTCAAAGAAAATCCTCAAAACGCAGGTAATGCCCACATCTGATTAATAAATAGGCTCCCCCTCCCTGGGAGACCTCAAATAGACTTAAACAGAAACAGTGTTCAGTGTTTAGTATTGAGGGTATACTTTTTCCTCTAGTGGTCCAGGTGTGAAAACAGTTAGCTTTATTTAGGGTGTATTTATAGATATGTTTTTGGATTTGCTTAGCTATATAATTACTACTAATCATATGTCGACTTTAGATGCACCATTCTGATGGTTTCGAAGATCAATCTCGATCCCAACTCTGTGTTCTTTTTTGCGCATGATGGCACGGTCCCAGAGGAGCTTCTACGGCTGAATGGTCGCAATGAGCATCCAGATGCTGAGGAGATTGGGGGTCGGCAGTTCCAGCCTTTGCTGGGTCGATCTGGGCCATCCGATCGAAGCGGATCGAAGCCCACTGGAAGGGCGGCGAAGGGGTCGCTTCACTTCACGACGAAGAAATGGTTGTGACCAACAAGACACATTTGCAGCACTCAGCACTGGAGTCCCAAACTTGATCAAAACGTTTTGAGAACCCACAGCACGAGTCGTGTATTTCTTGCCTCTTGGGCCAGGAGAGTGGGGTGACTTTGGTTCTGCCAGGCACCTGTTCCTACATCTTTTGGCAGCTCGGACCCTTGGCTGAGAATGAGAACTGATCCTTGCGGAACTTGCCGGGTGGATTGGAGAAGTGTCTCAGACTCCACCATGAGTTTCATCAATCGAATGCTCAGTCGTCGATGTTGGAGCAAGAAACAACGATGTCCACTCCACACTCCCCTACCCGCCCAAACACCAAATAAGATCAATAAGATGTGCTTCAGTTGTTTTAGGGGACAGGTTACATAGGCCCTACAAGATCTACAAGGCTTGAAGTTTTTTTGACCCCTGTTTGAGTCTGAGTCTGAGTCCAAACACTGCTTGGAACGGCGCTCCGGCACGAGAGTATACGAGAGTTCGTTGCCCCCCTTAATTCACCACCGAGCTCATCCAGAGGAATGATCCAGTACCTGTGCGAGCATTTTGACACCAGAAGTGCCAAACTCGTGCCTTGGAGGCCAATGCATCCAGGGGTCAACTTGGTGGGCAGAGTTCGCAGGACAAATGTCGGCAGCGCAAATGTCACCGTTGTTCATCAGTGCATATAATGCATGGAAATCATCGTAATCATGTGTGGCGCCACGATGAAGCCCACGTGTGTGCTGATACAGCCGCGAGTTGTGTGCTTCCAACTCTGGGGCTCACAGAATCTTCAAACTCTGGGGCTCAACCTATGAGTCCTTCCTGGGCCAAGCGGCTCAACACCTGCCGAGGCGGGCGTAAGCAGCGGTGCTGTCAGTGCTGTGATGCTTTTGCACATGGAAGAGCAACGTGGTTGCAACCTGGGGCTTTGGTTGCGGGGGGGTGGAAAAACGCGCACACGCACACACGCACTACAACCCCAAATCAGCAGGAACATGGAAGAACCATGAAGAACCCAACAAACTAAGCAGATGCTTTTATGAGCAGGGGTGGTAAGGAAGAACCGGCGTAGAAGTCTTCAAACATATCATAATTATCGTCATGTTTTTCATCGCCTGAAAACACGTGTGTTCTTCTCAAAAGACCACATGTTTTGACAAATCTTCTTGGCGGACTGGGAAGAGGAACGATGCCTCACCGCTTGAAGACGCTCCCCTTGCAACGGTGGTCAGACATCTATATATAATCAGTATTTGTCAGATTGCCAAACACTTTTCAATGGCTCAAGAAAGTGTGTGATGTGTTTCTTTTGTTTCACAGTTTTAAAGAACAAAATGAGTCTCATGACCCATTTGACCCTTCTTGGCTGGAGCGCCTTTTCCTTTTTCGGAGTCCCCTTGTTCTCCACCTCGCTTTTTTCGACCAGGGTCTCGATCGGCTCGATCAACCAGGGTCTCTGAAAACTCGGTTTGCTCCAAAAAGAGAGCCAAGATGGCGCAGCTAAGAGATTCTTAGATGTTGCATTGACAAGCCCCAAATGGAAGATGGCGCAGCACCCACGCCTGATCTCCAAGGATTGCACAGAAGGCCGCCGCCGCCGAGAAGGATTCAGAGAATGCAGGCGCAGTTAAGTCTTCGGATTGCAGGTGATTCGGATTTGTTTCGGATTGCATAGTATCTCCAGAGTCCCGGTCTTGAGTCACAAACGGGTCCCTTCAGCTGAAACCACCGGCTGCGTTCCGCCGCCCGTCCCCAGGTTTGGCCGCCGCAGCAGCGGCGCGGCAGCGAGCGCAGGAGGTCTTTGAGATCATCGAGGGAAAGACAGCGGAGCTCATGAGGATGGGTGGTTTCGGAGTCGAACACTTGGACGCGCTTTGTTTACATGTTCTAGATTCTAGTCCGCCCCTTGCTGTGTGTTGGTATGATTGACCGCTGTTTTTCAAGGGTGTTTAGTCTCCATGATCCCCGAAGTTGGTCTCCATGATCACTTGTAAAGAGGACGCCCTTGTCCTTCTTTGGCCGTGCCCCGGATGCAGCATCAGTGTTCGCGTGTTTATGATCACGCTGGATCTCGCCGGGTGGCAAGAACTTGAAGACCGGGTGAGAAAGAGTCAACCAACAGTCGCTGATCAGCATCAGCAGATACAAGCATGGTTTGGTGGACAACTTCCTTTTGAGGAAGATTGTGTTTCACAATGTTCAAGGAACCCTGCAATGATACACGGATATATAATATACATTGTAGAGTTACATGCAGATAGCAGATACCAAGATATTTCTAGATATCGATTTTGTTTGTTTGTGCTGGCTAGACAGAGAGACTTGATACCTGTGTTCTCCAAATGTGTTTTGTTCGATAACCTCAAGCACATATCGTGTTACAGTCATTGTAGGCAGTCTATCAAGGTGCTTCAGTTGCACGTCATTCATGCTGTACCTTGTGCAGCATGCCATATCCCAGCCTGAGGCTGAAGGTCTTAACGAACAGTTTGGTACCGCTCCACATGCAGGGGGACACGACCCATGACTGAAAGAACCCTGAAACGCAGGGGGTCGGGACCGCTCCACACGTTCCGTGTGTTGCAACAGGCCCGACCTGAGGACCTCCACCATCCTGAAAGCGCCAAAAGATGGGACAAGTTTATGTAAACAGTTCAACATGAATTCTTAGTTTCTTGCCAGTTCTCCTTGTTTTGGTGCGTGTTATACGTTAGACACCTCTCAAATGAAGGGATGTGGGTCTATGTTTCCCATCATCTATATAACTTTGCAATTTCAAGGGTGTTGAGGGGAAAACATGCTTGATGTGGTCACACATGCATGACTAGTGGGCTTACACTGCACAACTCCAATCTCGGACACCTTCGCATCACTCATGAGGTTTGGGCCAGTTGATGGAAGACCTGGCGCCTCGAGTGCTTCCCGAAGGCATCCGAGTTTCGGCACAGGGCGTCCGTGGTTTCGGCGCATTGTAGGCTGTTTGCGCAGGTTCAGATCAGGGAACAAACTGGAAGAGATGGAGTGCTAAAAGACGGTCAACTGTTTCTCTCTCTCTCTCTGATCTCTATATATATATAGTTGTTATTTATTCATTAAATACTCTGTCAAACCCTTAGGGGCTGCAGGAGTGTCAGGAAAGTTGGACACTCCTTTTGCGGTTGATGTGATTGGCACAGCTTGGTGTTTTCTACTATGCTCTCTCTCTCTCTCACAGATTTTGCGTGCAGCCCAAAAGCACGCGCTTTGTTGAGTTGTGGTCATCTACCAAGTTTGTGGATATGTTAAAGTCATGTGACAAGTGGTATACCTTTTAGTCAAGTGTTTGATGCAGCAAGTGAAACAAATCACCAGGATGATCACAACCAATCAACTAGATGACAGACAGACGCAAGGCAAGTTCTTACGTAGTGCAATGGCACCTGCACTATCAATTCGAGATGTTGGGGTAAGATTTGCTGTTTGTTACCAGGTTGAGTGCTGGAAACAAGACAAATGCTACCTCCAGACTGAATACTCTTATGACAGGATCTTTGTATAGTGTGCAAACCCCTTTTCACTTCCTGGTGTTTTGCGGGCACCTTTTTGCACACTCGCATTAGTGAGACAACCTACCACTAGACACTAAAGGAAGCATATCCTGATTCTAATTGCGCCTGAGATTGGTCTCTCGTACTCCAGGAGACGCTATTGCGCTTGGCTCTCGCTTGCAGATTGGTGTGAGACGTTTGGCCACAGGCACGACAAACAACTGGGAGCCGGTGGAGCGTGTGGATTGGACGAATGCAAACCAGGCATGACAGAGGCATGAGTTTGACGGCTGCCTGCAAGAAACAAATGAGTATTGTTAAATACATGTTCAGATTATTTTCAGTATTTTGCGCGAAGGTTCTCATTATGTGTGGAATCTGCACTCAAGGTGTTCCGCACCCAAGGTCGCAACCATTTACTGTAAATCTTGTACTGGAACATTCATGTCCACTCCCATGACCTGTTTAGTCGTTGATTCCACTCCCATGACCCGGATCTGCATAAAGTTTAAAACAACTTGAACTTTGCTGATCCACTGCCCACGGATCAGCCGTTTCGTTCTCGTGCGTATACGGGGTCGCCGATTTCCGCGTGGCCGCTTTCGGGGGGCCGGCTTCCAGGTGTCGTGCCAGCGCTAGTGCCGGATGTGGTGGGCAGCTTCACCAGCCGCGACGAGCTTTTGGACGGCGTGCTGGCCTCGTGCAATGCGACCCGAGCTGACGACGCGAGTGGGTTCGGCGGAACGCGGGGAATGCGGAGTTCACGCGAGACGGGAGATTTCAGGAGTGCACGGAACTCCGCAAGGTTCGCGAGTGATGGAAGAAAGGAGATTCATAAGTATGATATATATATATATAGTTGATAGTTTACATCAAGTCTAGCAGTTCAGATGTGTTCATTGACTTAAACCAAATTCATCCAACTAATGAAAGGGAACGACCTATCCAAAAAACATACATATAATGAACAGTGATTGTCATCATCATCCACCCAAAAAAGGTTCTGCTTAGGAATCCCTTCAGCTTCCTAAAACATTATGAGAATGCCCACCACTCCAGAGGCTGAGATCAGCCTCCGAACCAACAAGCTGCTCGGAGCCGCTCATCCATCACTGGTCTTCCTGCGCCATTCGCCAACAATCTTCCCTGTGGGTTGTACAGTTGTGAACTAGATTTTGTCTCCATCGGTGGACTAGTCTAGTCAGAGAGTCTAGAGCACGAAATTTTAGTAATCCTGTCCACCTATTAAAAAGACACGCCTCCCCCCCTATTAAGGAAAACCATTTTAGTACAATTTTGGTGCTTCTGTGGGGCTTTGCTTGTGGCTTCGGCCCAATCACCGACCCGAATCGCTGCTTCGGCCCAGACTCTGGAGAGGGAACGAAGCACGGTGTGGATGGTACCTTTTGGGGGCGGAAGGCGGACCCTACCGCAGCGCTTAGGTTTGGCTGGTGGTGCGACTCCATCCTTGCAGATTTCTTCCCAGCCTTAGTGCATTCTGCAGTGATGGTGTGAACCCCTACTCACTCTACTGCTTTTGGGACTACCTGCTTCTTGGACAAGATATTCTTGTTGGGATACATGCATGGCCGGGCAGCTCATGCGAGAAGTCGTATGACACCTGTGAATGCTGGTACAGCTACTGAAGGGATTTGAAGGCTGCTGCTTTTGAGGTATCACTGAAGTGTAGAATTCTGAAATTCTGAAGTATGTTTTGTGTTTATACCACAAGACTCCCTTTTCCATGTTTTTTCCTACTTTCCCAGCGATGGATCAGTGGGTCATCAAGAAAAAGAGATCTCACTTAGTCGAGACTCGAGACTCGGTTGCGGAATCCACTTGCAGGTGCATAATCCATCCCTAGGGATCCAAGTACCTTCTGAGAAGGTGATGGGAGACACTGTTATGTAGGTTGGGAGGGTCATGGCCATGTAAAGGAATTGCCCTGGCACAGTCCAAAGATATCGCCGCTATCGCCCTGACCTTGTTCTGGCACTTTCATGTACCACAACAACTTGCGAACCGTCCGCTCACCCCTCGAAAGCCCTTCCACTCAAGTAATTATGTACCCAACACATGTAACAACACAAGCAGCCACCGACCGAGTTACGCGTCCGGTTAGGAAGGTACTTGAAAGTGAAGTACAAATTCAACTACGCACGCTCAGGTGTCAAAAGGCATTTCATCAAGATATCAATTCTTTTGTTTAACTCTCCGGTAACGGTAGAGATGATGGTATTTTCGGAATTTGGGACCCAGAGACATTCCCTGGTCGATTTTGGCCACTTTTGGTGTCCAAAATCGATGCCATGTACAGTCTGTTGGGTCAACGTCCGATTCAGCTGCAACGTCCCTCCCAGGTGCCAGCGACTCACTGGGCAGGCGGAGATCAGCGCACCCCATGAGATGCATGGAGGGATCCTGGATCGGATCTATGCCATTTGGAACTGCACCGTCCCGGCCTCGGTGGTTGAGAAGACGAATCGCAGGTGTCGAGATGCAGTGTTGACACCTGGATCTTCACGGATTAGCGGCTCAGCCTCGCTTGGTTGGTGATGTCTTGATGAAAGTGAAGAGAACTGATTCTGAGAGCAAAGTAAGAGGATGTTGCAAAGGAGTTGCGAAGATTGGGACCCACCACCACGGTTGGCCAATCATCAATCGATTCGATTTGCTTTTTCGGCGCTTTAGAATTTCTTGACCTCTGCTTTTGGGATCTTTGGGATGGATAAGACGCTGTGACCCAGAGCCATTTGTCCTGCGTTTCGGGACTCACCCTGACTGACTTGGCCAGAGGTGATGAAGGAGACTTGGCTGCAGTTCTTCGCCGAAACATCCTTCCTTGGTGGCCATGTATTTCAATGGGTCGCAGCGATGCAGAATCTCTTTGAGAATGCTTTCGTTGGGACTGCCGCCGTGTTTGAAGGAAGATGGTTTTGATGTTATGTGTTGATCGTTTAAACAGCTTGCAGCCGCTGACGATCATCCACAAGGTAGAGGAGGGGCCCGGGGCATTCAGAACGAAGGCCTTCTTGCTGGGTCTCCGGGACATAGCTGGCTGTCAAGGTGTTGCTGCCGTCCAGTGGCAAGAGGCTGTGGGTGAGTCCCACAGTTGGTGGCCGCTTGAACGTGATGTACTTGCTGAGGCAAGATCTTCGAAGAAGACGCGAGAGGGCCGGTTCTTGCTCGATCCAAAAGACGCAAGTCATTGGTGCACTATTTTGAAGCGTTTCTCCTTAGAGAGAAGGGATTAGGGGATGCTGACTAGTTATGCAAACAAGAAGGCGCCTTGTAGGCGATAAGCACATGAAACTTTAAGCCATTTGAACATTTTGGAGCATGTCCATGAGGATCATGAGGGCATGACCGACGTTTCACATGGCTCAGAAACCGGATTTGACCAGAAGCCCAAACCGCCTTACGTCTTATTTCCCATGTGGTCTGAGAAATGGTGTGCCCAAGGCCCGAAACATCAAGCTGGACTGCTGGACCTACGTAAATCTCGCTTGACCCACACTGCTAGAATAACTGTATATACACATATTCATATATATATATACACAATGTGATGTAGACTATTGTAGACTCTTAAACAAAATACACAAGACAAACAATCTGAAGATGTTTTGACAATCCAAACAGGGGTAATTAGAATGTGTTTTTTTCATCAAGAGTCTACACCCTTTTCCGACCTGTTCTGGACTCTGGATCGTTTGCAGGTTCTCCGGCTGGTTCATTGGTGAGCAATGGCAGCAGGGTGACTTGTACTTGTAGGGAGTTTATGAGAATTTGAGCTTGGGTGTGTCCTAGTAAACCTGTAGCAGTTGGTTTAAAAATATCACTATTGTTGAGATGTCGGCCTACAACCCAACCATCATCCACTGGAAATGGGACTATAACTATACCATGATCGGACAGAGCATTTGTTTGGGTCGAGGGTGGACCCTATCAAAACCCATCAGCATCCGAACACTATCAGAACTGATAGAAAGTTGGATCAACAACTCCCAGTGAGTGTTCCCCATGAGACTTAAAACCACGAAAGCACCTGCCGCGTGTGGCACGGGCAAACAGAAACACTCAAGACCATTGGCAAATGAATGTGGCATACTTTGGTGTTGCAGTACGTTTGTAGTATGCTTGCGGTATTTCAGTTCGAGACAACCATTTTAGATTGTTCTACACAGTATATATAATATAGGCTGAAACATACATTGGAAGTTGGAAACACCAGCCAAGTTTCAAAGAAACTATAGCATTTTTTCCTGGACTTGTCTACATTGATGCGAACCACAAATGATATCAAATAACAATATATATATATATATGATATAGTGTGTATAGATGTTATACTTAATAAATTTATATGTGTTGATATGATATATAGTTTATAGATATTCTATGATATTGTATATCTCTAGTGTATTATATATATATCATGTACGTTGTTCCTTCTTTGTTACACCCTGGTATTTGTTTGACTTTCACACGTAAAGTTACTCGCGTAGCTGCTTTCCTTGGCTTAAACTCACTGTTCTGTCGCTGTCAGGTTATGCTCACGCACGGGATTTGGATGCCAGGGGGTATTGGCAAGCTTTGCCGCGGAGGCCCGGCATGTGAGCAGCTTGGAAGCACTGGAGATTTACTGGTGCGGTACGGTCGTTTTAGATTACAGTATAGATTGCAAAAAAGTCTATGTATAGGAAGCTTTTGCCATCTACTCGGAAATCCGGTAATTGCTTGTGATCAGTGGTACTATATACTTTTGGAGTCTCATATCACAGCGGTTCTTTTGAGGAACATAAGGAGTTACTGCCCATGAGGTGTGGAAGTGGTGGTGCAGCTAGCTATGTCATGTTCGAATCCTGCCAGGCCATTTGCGGTGCTTTGATTCCACAGCAGAAGGCTGAATTCATTGTCCGCATGAGTCTTTTCTTGTCCGCGTTTCACGCCGTGACAACGTCCTTCAGGCGAGGACCGGTGGACAGTCTTCTCAAGCCGCCTCGCATTTGTAAAATTGGCAGAACTGAAAGCAGTGGTGCCCAACAGAGTTTCTTAAGTTTGCAATCGCATTTTGCGATCACTTCGCTTGGTAGTGACCAAAGAGGCCAATATTTGACCGCCAGGAATGGGACAGGGTCGGACACGATACCCAGATTGACACCCTCCTTGCACAGATGATTCAGATCGATGGTCAGATTGACATAGTACGGAAAGTCAGGGTTCAGTGTATTTCCATCCAACATTGCTCGCAAATTCATGCACCACTGTTTTGACCGGCAACCTTCCAGCCTGAATATTCATATATTCGGGGAGTTTTCAAACAAGGATAAGACGTCAAAAAACAATCAAAACATACGCTTTGCACTTTGGTTGGCTTTGGTTTGCCGAACGTTCACCGCCACTTCTTGGCTTTCTTGGGGAAGATGACGCCTTCATCGCGCCGCTTCATCGCTCTCCCACCCGCGCTTCAACGCTTCTGCGGCTCAGACGGGGGGGCGCTCTCCCACCCGCGCGGCTTCCACACCCTGGAGCCGAGATGAAGGGCTGAGAGCTCTTCATCGGCGGGACCGAGCCACTGGGCCGGACAACCCCCGCCCCGCTGGCGGCGTTTTGGGTACGGGATCCAACAGCATGAGGTATTAGTGATTTAATGTGATTTAGATTCTAGTTATAGTGAGAATGAGGTTTCTGTGTTGTCAGCATGTGTGTATTGAATGAACATCCTGTTCATGTCAGGTTTCTAATTCAGTACAACCCTCTGAGAATGAACCAAAACGACAGGGAGCCTGCCGTTCACAAGGTTGGGATGTGACTACGCCACAGGTTCTCGTCAGATCCTCCTGGGCACCTTCAGGCCAATGGGATCCATCAAGCACCAGTGATAGGCTGCTTGTGCCCCAATCGATCCACTGCCACCGAAGAAAGGAGACGAGGTACGGTGAGGAAGGAGAGGGTCCAGTACTGTAGGCGCCAGGGTCGGGTCCAAATATCTGAGAAAGTATGTGGATCCATAGGGAATAGATACTGTAATAGGTGTGTTTCGTACGCCGTGTCCCTTTAGCAGCAAGAGTCGGTAGAAAGATCATCACGATGTTGGAGAAAGGTCTTGAATTATTTACTCCAAAGCGGAGAACAGATGCTTGCACAACATTTGCACAGCTTGCGCGGGTGGAGAAATCTCAAAGAGTGATATTGGTTGCATTCTGATAATCTGATAAGCCAAAACGAGGACGCTAAGGGATTCTTCTATGATTCCTATGGTAGTTTGATGTAGTTTGGATAGTCTTAATTACTCAGCTATACTCAGCTAGAGAGTTCGGATATGTGTACTCAAAGGATTTGTTAAGATCAAGACGCCGATTCTCAGAGTCTTGAAAGTTACCAGACTGCCCACATCCTCGAGAGGATGAGCGATTCTTTCCTGGCATCCTTCCTGGTTTAGATTCCCGGATTGTTGAAACATGCATCTCTGGTCGCAAAATGCCGTGAATAAAATACACATTTGCATAAGTTTACGCAAATCACACCAACAAAAACTCTAAATTCATTATAACCTATTATATCATCGTCAAGAGTCTGTGGGACAACTTGGCAATCAGAACATCCAGAGCAAAACAATGCATTCACAGGTGGGATTTTGTGTTTTTCACCTACAGCTCCAAGACTATCAGGGATTCACTAGGACCTGCAGGGCTCCAAGAAATCCAAGTACGTCAGAGACGGATATGGGTGGACCTTGAGCGACACCGTTCAGACACCTCGTTTTAGGCGAGATCGGGGCGATGCCGCAGGCGCCAAACTGCCGCGATGCCGTTCGATGTATGTGTTTTTGCTTGTTTTTCAGTGAAAGGATTCATCCACAGGAGGTGGTTGCACTGAAAGGGGAAAAGGGGATGCGGTTTGATGGGCTTCCATGATTGTGGGGATGGTAGAAGAAGCAAGCAAATGGCAATTGGTTTGGGCCTGGAAGACTCCAAAAACCTTTTTGGAATACTCCGAACTCTGTTCTTCTGCCGATTTCAGGAGGCGTCAGGAGTCCATCTGGAACAACCGACAGGGAGTTTCAGGAGTTTCCGACAGGAACACAGTCGTTCAGACCGCGATCTGAAGATCTGAAGATTCTTGAGTGAAGGACAAATAGATCGCAAAACACTACAGATCACTAAAGGTAAGGCCAGGAGCCCCTAGTAGCGAACCTTGTTACTAGTAAGGCACTTGTTACTACTAGCGTGGCACCTGTTTCTGCAAACTGAGCAAACTCCATGGTTTGAAACAGGATCTCCGTCCACCACCGCGCCATGGCGGTGTCTCGCAGGTTCCTGCGCTCGGCGGCGATGCTTTTGGGACTCAGCGATGCGAACGCGGGACCGGGCGCGGTACGACAGGTGCGGCCTTCGTGGAAGGCGTTGTGGAACGCAGCAGTAGGATGCAGTAGGGCAAGTTGAGGCACCAGATGTCCTTGTTTTTAAGTTTAAGCCTTTTCTTGTTTGCCTCTTTTTTGGGGGTGGTACACCATGCTGAAGCCCATGCTGAGATTGCCACATAGGCGTTCATGGCGTTCTCGCTTGGATTCGCTTCGTGCATTCTTACGTTTCGTCGAGTACCTCAGACGTGCCAAGCAGAAAACCAGGAAAACTGAAGCATCCGAACCCGCCTCAGCATTCACCTACAGCCTGGCTTGGCGCACTGTACTTGCGGACCCCTGCAAATAATTGATGTTTCAAGGGAAAGAACCTGGCTCACAAGCTGACTGGAAGTTAGTTGGTTTTGCGACCCGGGGCCATACGTTTTAACATGTTTTAACCACGGATGAGCGTAACCACTTGGATCGGCGCATCGCACAGATGTTCCGAGGTGCACAGTTGGGGCAGCGGCGAGATGGGACAGTTGGGCTTTCCACTCCTCGAGGACGCGACGCACGCGGCCGTCGTGGCGAAACGGTGTGCCGTTTCGCTCGGTGCTGCTGCAAGCAGTTCGGAAGCTGTTTCGGTGACCTGGTTGTGTGGAGAGTCCAAAGCAAATCCTCCAGCTTTAGCATAGTGTGTATGTAATGTCATGTAATGTAGTGTGTAGTATAGTGTAGTGTAATGTATGTGGGTACGTGGGTGAGTGCGTGGGTGGGTGGGTGGGGGGTGGGTGGGGGAGAGTATGTGTCCGCCATACAATGCAGAATATGTGATATTGGTTGGCTGATGTTGGCTGAGATTATTCATTTCATGGCAACCTGGCAAAGGATGGAAAAAGGGTATTCTATTGGAAGTTGAGCCCTGAGTACACTGTGTACCTTTTGCTCTGGACGAGGAATTGCAAACAAAAGGGCCATTTGGACAGGCAGAGAACCTGAAAGGACGCAGAGAAGCTTCTCCAAGCCAAGGTTCGCTCCATCTTTCGAGCGGCAGAAACAGCATGAGTCCATGAATACCTTATTTTTCCAGAGGTCCATCCAGTTGCTCATTCTCTTCGTTCCCGGGGTTTGAAGAGGAATGACGTGACATCCGAAGAGGTCGTTGCTATCCGTGGTCCAAGAATGGTCTGTCCAGAGAGGTCACAGATGTCCATGGTGTAGGCTCTATATGGAACCGGCCATTGGTTTGCATGAAACACCATGTCTTGAGGTTGATAATCTGATAAGTTTTTCGAGCACTTTCATGACATGTTTCACGATGCCAGGCACTGTTCGATGCAGTTTTCACCCAGCAGTAGGAATAAGATTCAATTGTTTGAATGCTCTCCAGATGGTTCATCCCATGATAACTTTTGAAAACGAGGTTTGTGATTCTCAACCGTATAATCTCACCTGGATTTTTGTAGATCTCACGCTGCCAGCATTTCTGTAGAATCTCACTCTGATCGCAGCGGAGTGTCAGGACCTCCCCAAGGACCAGGATGGCTACCCCTATGAGCCCACAGCAGGTCTCATCAAGGCACCACCGGCGGTCAGGGAGAAAATCCGCCCAGCCCAAGAAAGTGGCGAAGGAAGTGGCGATGTTAGTTTTTTTTGGTGAAATATATATATATATGTGTATTAAGATTGATTAAACATGATTAAACATATACTTGTATGCTTGTATGTATAATTATGTATATGTATATTTGTTGCATTTATGGTGATGGAAGATCCACTCAAGAAAGCACCTTCAGGGACGTTATCACATGTCACACAAGGAGCATTCCACCCGTTCCCATGGGCGTTCCACCCATGATTGGAAGGTTGATGTCTAAATTCCAGGCATAGATCCGGGAAAGGTCCTCTTTCTTAGACTGACAACAACGTACAGAATCACCAACAACAGAGATGTTTTGACCTCTATATATATCCACTCTTTACCTGTCCTTTTAAGATCCATCAATCATGTGCTTCATGTTCATTGTTTGCTCAAAGTGTTCCAAAGCTGGCCCCTTCCACCTAAACATCGCGGGCCTTTCATACTGTGGTGCAGCATCAGAAAAGCAGAGGACTGTTCCTTGACTTTTGCCATGTGTTCAGTGGAACAAGTGTGTTTTTACAATCACTTGCAACAAGCTGATTCAGGGGCCTTGAAGGCCTTGACAATTCACGCACACAGGATTCAGGGGTCTTGGAGGCGACCGATTTGTTGACCCACTGCAACAGATGTGGCTCACAGCATCCAGGTGAACAGTGGTGACACTGACCGCAGTGTTTGGGGTGGCACCCCACCGGGGTTTGCCCAGTATGCCCCAAATCACCATGGGCTGACCTGGGGTTGACCTAGTGACCTAGTGACCGAGCTCCAGCTTTAGAGACATCCAAGGCATCAACCCACCAACTCATCGAAGCCAGGCCACATGCCAGGAGTCACATGGAGTTGGGTGACTTGGCTCGTCCCATCCAGTGAGTGGACCCCCCGACTTCCGTTCGTTCGTCACCCAACTCCATGTGACTCCTGGTGTTTAAGCCTGTTTTTCTCCCGCGCTGCTTTGCAACACGTCACCGGGTCCGATGTCCTTGGCGAGATATCATGGTTGGTTTCTGTCCTGCTGGGTCCGGAGGCCTTCAAGCAGGTGAAGATTTGTGACGCCCTTAGAATCGGCCAACGACCCGCCGCCTTTGAACCAATGAAGTGCGTTTCGATCGGAGGGTGTGTGATACCGACAACCGCACTTTTAGGAACCATCAGAGACGCTTGACAGGCCAACACCCTGCCCCCCAATCGGGATGATCCAGCGCTTTGCTCACTGAGGCTTGGACTCAGAGCCAGTCTCGACATTGTTACATATATATATATATATTTAGACATTCGAAGCCGTCCTATCAGTGACCTCAAGAACACCTTAAGCCGTGACCCAGATCCAGACATCGGATGTGGATTTTCTCCAGGTTAGACCCATTTCCTTTTCCGATCTGTGGAAAAGGGGGCAGGATACCTTGGAGTGTCATGAGGTCCGCAACCCAACCCGAAATCGGGTCCAGTGATCCACGCTGAGGCCAAATTGCCGGCGGGGATGGTCACACAGCAGCTCAGACTTGAGAAGTAAACCAGCTTTGATCGTTTGGTGTAAAGAAGTGGATCGTTTGCGCTGAAACAAAAGCAGTATATACATGGTGTTTCAGCGCTGGGGTCATATGCACAGCATAATAGCATAGTCAACAAGCGGAAGTAGCAAGAAATTAAGATGAAACCAAGCAGGATTTGCTGGTTGTTCGCCATTCACCACTGCGGTGGCCACACCATGGGGGTGGGACAGAATCAAAATGAGCCACGCAGTGGATGTAGCTTTTCGGGCCCCAAGCTTGAAGTCGCGTCCGGTGCAGTTTAGTGATGAAGAGCCGGATATCTCTGCAAACAAGTTGTAGTTAAAAATACAATAGCACCTCACAACAGAGTGAACAAAGATCGGCCATGTGTGTCTTCGTATGGACGCTGTGAAGGCCACAAACTTGATTATATGCTAATAACATGCTACTGTATGACAAGATGGCTGCTTCAGAGTCCGGGCCAATATATGCTACCGGTGAAACCTAAGCCTTCTAAAACGATGTGATTGACCACGCCCACTCTGTTCCGAAAGCCCGAAGTCTAGCAAAGACCCCTGCATGTCTTCTAGACATGCTGTGTCACAGATGTCAACCGATCCCATCAACCCGCAGATCTGATCATATCATATCATATCCATTCTTTTTGCTCGGACTTCAGCCCGGGTTCACCAAGTGGTTTTTAAATGATGGGAATCAGATAGCCCTTCCTCCACTGGATCCCTCCACTCACCCAGCCGTCCAGACTCGACCCTGGAACTCCAAGGCGGCTGTGACGGTGCACGGGAAGCTCTACAGCTGGGGCGCCAGCGCCTGCGGCGCGGAGCCTCGGTCCGTAGTCCGGGAGGTCGGACTGATGTGGACGGGAAGATGTTGGAAGAGGTCAACAGGGAGTACCATCAGCTTGGTTAGATATAGCCATGTGATGTTGGAAGATGATTGATGTGGACAGGGCCGAGTAGGTGTATGGCCTACATCAATCTGGCAAAACATCCCAAGTTGGATTAATATTCCATGCAGGCATGGACATTGTTCAATGGTCTTCATCAGTTTGTCCCTTGCAGAGCGATAATCAGGATCTCCCAGGAAAAGTCCTAGGGTTGTTTTCACACGAGGCATCGCTGACAGACCAAAAGTATGAAGTTTGTTGGCACCTTAATTCTTCAACCAAGTTGTCTAGGATTGTCTAGGCATCTCCTCCCCTTGAGAAAACAGACAAACATGTTGGGATGAAGTGTTTCTTTGACCCTTTTTTCTTATTCCGCTTTTGAAGCTGATCAAAGCAGCGCCCGGAAACTCAGCACACTGGAGTCAAAGTGCTTCCTCTTCAGGCCAACTTGGTCACTGTGCCGACCTCGGTCGTTCGCGTTGTGGCATTTTGTTCCGTGGCACTGCTGTGGTGTGTCATGCCTGAAGCTCAAGAAACAACGATTTGTAAGGGACCCAGCCGAGTGCCATCAGCGGACCCAGCCGAGTAGGAATGACACTCCAGCGGGAATGGCCAAAGAAATGTGGATGTGACCGCAGGAACTGTGTTTTTTTCCAAGCGACATGGAATTGGTTAAATCATGTTAAATCTAATCAATGGCATCCAGGGCCAGTATATAATATATATATATATACGTAACAGTGGTGGTGGATCAGGCTCAAGACATTGGGGTCTTTCGGATGCCAAGCCGATGCCAAGCCCATCCCATCCTGGTCACCGGCACCCAGGCGACACGGCTCACATGCCCAAGGATGTGGTGTCCCAAGCAAAAGCCGTCATGGCGAAAGCCGGCTTCACGTAGGATTGGACCTAATAACCTGAAGTTCGCAAGAATATGAAGTTCACAAGCTTGTAGACTACATTACCACTCCAACTGGGTAACGTCATTTGTTTGATGACTAGCCGTTTGCTGTTTTAATGTCCAATTTGAATCAAATCGATTGGTTTGATCCATTTGAGGTCGAAGGCTATCCATACCAACCTGTACCCCTCCTTGTGAGCAGCCTGCAGGACAGCGTTACCTGGCAAGGGTTCAGAGTCGAAAGCCAACCTGCCGTGGCCCAGACAGTCTTTGATGTTTTCCGGAACTTAGCCTCATGTACCTCAGATTTACACTAGGCTTATGCAGAAGCTATAAGCCCACCCCATCATGTTGTGTGAGAGTGTCGGTAGGGAAGCCATGTGAGTTTGTTTAGAAATGTTTGGAACATGGGGACGCTTAACCAATGCGTCTTTTTGTTGTCTTTTGTTTCTTCCTTTTTCCAGAGCTCAGTGCTCTCTCTTTTTTTGAGGAGGTGAACAAAACACATATACACATAAAATATCATAAGAACCGCACAGGCGCTGCACCATGCGGTGATGCCCACATCGCCTGGCCGGCGCCCACCATGCAGGACGTGTGCATCGTTCAGATCGCCTGTGGAGATGCCCACACCGTGGCACTCTCGCGGGAGGGCTTGCTCTACAGCCCGGACAGCCCAGCGGTGGCGCGGTGGCGCTGGGTGGCGCCAGCGCGGAGCGGGATGGTGGCTTCATGTGGTTTCAATCCTCATTGTTCATGTGGTTTCATGTGATGTTCAAACTTTGCTGAGGAGTTAAAGATGTCTTCAAAGCAAATCTACTCTAATCTCAACCTGTTTCTCACGTGCAGGCTTACACAGTAACGTCCCAGTTGGGGGACGTGAGTATGGAGAAAGCAAGTCCACTGTTCTGTTGAATGTTTGGGGGTGTGCATGAGGTTATGGGGTAGTGAGGGGTTCAAGCCATTTCGATCCGCAGCCATCAACCTCCACAACCAGCCACACCTATATGGGTTGTTGAATGAGTAGCCAAGGGTGTTTTTCCTGGACGGGGAGAGCCAATCACAGGTGTTTCGAGGATAATCTATTGGATCAATATCTAAACTGTTTTCTGCTGAAAGCCCACTAGGTCCTGGCCCGTCTTGAAAACATATTTGATGTCTGAAAGCCTTGGGCTACGCCCCCTACTTATCCATTGGTTAGTTTGGAAGAACAAGTTCACCTGCGGACTGTCTTCTTGTTCTATGATGAATGGACGGTTCACCGTCCGTTCTGGCCCATCTCTGCTCCTTCCGACTGTGATGAGACGACTAAGTCTTGGACGATGGACTCCACCTCGCATGCATTTCGGGCCTGGGACGTTACATCCAACAGACGCTACTAGGGGCTCCTGGCATCGCTACTAGTAACAAGGGCCTTACTACGAGGAACAAGAAGCTATTAGAAACCATGTTCGCTACTAGGAACAAGTGCATCGCTTCTAGTAACAAGTGCCTTACTAGTAGTAACAAGAAGCTAGTAGAAACAATATATTTCGGGCCTGGGACGTGACATCCAACAGACGGCCTGGCCTGACCACGCCCCACCCATGGGTGTCGTGGTCTCTTTCAGCTTGTAAGCATCGTCCAGGCTGGGGTGGTGGTGGCTGTGGGCAATTGGGCCACTCAGAGACCTCGAAGATGTGGGGAGCCGAGAACGTGCTCGGTGTGGCCGAGGAGGAAAGTCTTTGGCACTCCCCATTTCCTAGCACGACGTCATGGGGGATTACATGGGGATTAGTGTAAGAGTTCAATTGACTTCATATATCATGTTCAGATTGTCATTTATATATATTTATGTTACAATATAGATTCTTCATGTGCATTCACTTGTCATTAAGGATTTCGTTTCACTTATTTGTCAGCAACATGGTGTGTTTTCTAGTTCATCGACCCAAAGCTGGCCCCATTCCAAGCCGGAACAGGGGCCCCGGGGATGGCCCATTTTCATCACACGGATCGGCTAAGAGTCCTTCGATCCGAACATCACCACGTCCACAAAGGTCTTCGGTTCCCCTGGAGGTCCCAGCGATCACTGGATCATGATCCAAGATGTCACGAGATCGATCCGGTATGCGTTGTTTCGGTACACGGTCGCAAACCATGTGGTAGCAAACCAGTGTATTTGGTTTAGGACATTTACCTCGTGACCTCCCACATATCATTGTGCTTAATCATCAATTTATAAACCATGTTTGTTCTGGTCTGTCTTTCATCCATACGCACCGCGCACTGTTCGTCTTAAGATGGAAGTTTCTCCATTTCATTTCACACCCCAGCATTCCCCCAGCATTCGAAGGGACCTCCCAGAACGAACCCCCCCCCAGGACGAGGAAGACCCTTCCTCCCGTTCGAACCGGTCGTTCCCAAGGCCCAAAGACGAGGACGGTTGTCCCTATCAGCTGACCCCTCGGGCTGGGAGACCCGGCACTCTCGCGCCGTCTCTCGTGTCGTGTCGGTGGGTCGCCTGGAATCGACCGAGTACGGAACGTGTTGGTTTTGGGTTGGGGGGGCTGTGAACAGAGCGGAAGTCCTGGGATCCACTGAATCCACGTCTTGCTTGGTTTTGGCCAAGCTCATCAACCAGTAAATATGACTTCGGATTGGATGATTTGAGCCGAGAGTGATGTGATGTGTGTTTAGAGACTGGCTTCTTTGTTCCCCACCTGCCAGGTGAGGGTTGTTAGATTTTATGTTAGCTAACTTCTCCTTCTCCTCCTCCTCCTCCTTCTTCTTCTCCTCCTCGCCGGACCTCAACCACGACCATCCACGCCCAGTGTTCCCTGCCGGACCTCAACCACGACCATCCACGCCCAGTGTTCCCTGCCGGACCTCAACCACGACCATCCACGCCCAGTGTTCCCTGCCGGACCTCAACCACGACCATCCGCCCAGTGTTCCCTGCCGGACCTCAACTACAGCACACAACCACAAACACATAACCACAAACACACAACCACAAACACAGCCAGAAGCACACAATTACAAACACACAATGACAATCACAAACACAATCACAAACACACAACTACAAACACAACTACAAAGACACAATCGCAAACACATAACCACAAACACAACCACAAACACAACTAGAAACACACAACCAGAGACACACAGACAATCTCAAACACACAATCACAAACACAATCACAAGCACAAAACCACAAACATAACCGCAAACACACAACTACAAACACAACTACGAAGACACGATCACAAACACATAGCCACAAACACAACTAGAAACACACTACCAGAAACACACAATCACAAACACACAATCACACACACACAGTATCGCAAACACAATATCACAAACACACAGCCACAAACACACAACCACAAACACACAACCACAAACACACAACCACACACACAACCACAGACACAATCACAAACACACAACCACAAACACGCAACCGCAAACACAACCACAAACACACAACCACAAACACTAACCACAAACACACAACCACAATCACGCAACCACAAACACACAACCACAAACACACAACAACAATCACAAACCACAAACACAACCACAAAAGCACAACCGCAACCACAACCACAAACACACAGCCACAAACACACAACAACAATCACAAACCACAAACACAACCACAAAAGCACAACCGCAACCACAACCACAAACACACAGCCACAAACACACAACCACAAACACATCCACAAACACACAATCACAAAGACACAACAACAACAGCAACAACCACAACCACAACTACAAACACAACCACTACCAGTACCACACACACAATCACAAACATAACCGCAAGCACACAACTACAAACACTAGAAACACACAACCAGAAACACACAATCACAAACACACAGTCACAAACACAATATCACAAACACACAACCACAAACATACAACCACAAACACAAAGCCACAAACACACAACCACAAACACACAACCACAAACACAATCACAAACGCACAACCACAAACACAACCACAGCCACAATCACAAACACACAATGACAAGCGCGCAACCACAAACACAACCACAGCCTCGACGACAAAGACGCAACCACAAGCACAACCACAAACGCAATCACAAACGCAACCACAAACACACAACCACAAACACACAGCCACTACCACTACCACTACTACTAACAAATAGTAATAAATAGTAATACTACTACTTGGGCCACCCAGTACGACTACTACTGAAATGATCTGAGTTGTATTATTAGTTGGGCCCAGGTCTCCTGATGAAAGCATTCGCTTCGGACAGAACAGTAAGACTTGGCGCTGAAGGACTTGTGCTATGGGCTGAAATACACAACAAGGTTGACACGTGGTTGTTTTGAAATGCCACGGTGGGGATCACTCGAAGTAAAGTATTTTTTTCCTCAGTGTTGGTGGTACTTCGTAAATGCAGATGGGGTCCAAGATGATCGGAGAGGAAAGATGTTCTCTTCAGTTTCATTGAGATGAATGCAGTTGAGCGTGCTTGCATGTGATGCTGTGAACACAGAACCGCACCAGATGAAACTCAACTGTTGTCCCAGTTCTCAAAGCCACCCTCACTGGTAGCATTGTTTCGTTTGAAGCGTTAAACTCCTGCAAGTTTGGGCGGCTTCAAGGTATATAGAGAAGAACAAACTATATGAACTTTGGCAATCGCGCAGACTTGGTGTGATGAAAAGTGACTTGCATGAATGGATTACAAGGAATCAGTTGATCTAGATTCATCCAAACACTTCGCTTCCTGAGCCCTACTGAACCCTACTCTTGATGTGCTCAACCGCATCGGTACGAGAAAGACGGGTCAGAGTACCACTTGCAAGTGTGTGATACCATCTACATTGTCCACCACTTTTCATGTTCTATTTTGTTCACTCTCCTTCATGTTTTCCTGTGCCCCAACTAGGGCACGCTACTCCCAATCTTTGTTGAGTGTATTCGCAAAATCACTTTTGTTTGACCTCGATCTTGTTGGGTTGTCCCAAATCCTAAGACACACGGACAAGCATTCCAACGAGCATTCCCAGGTCGTGGAGCACTTGCGGCCGCATGTGGTCTCCTCGGTGGCGTGTGGAAAGGCCGGGCGAGCCCGGCCGCCTCGCCGGACAGCCGGACGCGGTCCAAAGGGATGAATCAAAGGATCAGCAGATCCAAACGGACGGCTAAAGCGGCTGGGAGGTCTGGGATGTGGTTGGAAAGGAATCAGAAAGAATCAACTGTTTGTGTTGATGTTCTAGCATGAGTGGACAACATTGAAATCCTCCCCACGCACACAAGTGTTAAGCCTGTTAAGCTGCCTGTTGATGGCAGGCAGCCAAGCTGACACAAAGAACAATGACCATCAAAAACGATCACGACAAGCAACCAAGCAAACAAACATGACAAACATCGATGCGCCGGCCCCAACCTTCTTTTCCCCTGGGGTTTTGTAGCTCCTGTTTTTGTGTTCAAAAGGGATCAAACGGGTCTTCTGTGATTTCTAAGTGTGTTTTTGTTAAATGTGTGTTTGACACTTAGAATCCATTTTTTGGAGGCTAAACGAAAGATAAATCAAGTTATGACGGTTAAGTTATGTTGTTCTTGCCCAGCTAACATCAGACATTGCCAGGCCAAGGCCAAGGCCTCACAAATGAGAACTGAACGAGGCACACTTACTTCAACTTGAACGAGGCCTCGAGGTCCCTCAATTGGGAGGGTTTCAGATTCATCAAACCCGGGTGATCGTAGAACCTCGCTGGGCCCCATCGAGTCGTTGCCCCGTTGCGGCACTCCCAAGCGGCCAGGCGCACACCATTGCGGTCTCCCAGCGGGGGCGGATGTTCACCTGGGGCCGGGGGACTCGGGGGGACTGGGGAACTGGGGCAACTCCCAGGCACTTGGCGGTCTCTTAGAGAGCTTCCAAAAATCATGTTATATCTGTTATATATATAATTCATTGGTCAACCAGTCGACTTCTTTTTTGTTCCCTTTGAACAGCCTGGTGTGAGGAAAAGGGCCAGTTTGGAAGCCTGTTGCTCTATTTCTTTTGGGAGGGGTGAGAACTACAGCCACCCTGAAATTGGTCCATTGCATTCCATCACTGTCCCCTCTTGAGTCTGAGACTTGAGAGTCCGTCCTCCACATGGCTCGCTCAAGCGTCGTGGCGTGTCGGGTTCAAGGAGCTGGCGCGTGCGGGCAGCTTGGTCATCCAGACACAAGTGAGCTCCTCAGATGTTCAGATTCTTGCTTGTCATGGTGCAGATGTGAACAACCCCATCATTTGTCTCATCCGGCAGAGGAGAGTTTGGACAGGTCCAGCTACGGCCACTGAAGCAAAACATATGATCGTCGTTGCACACAGATTGAGTTCAAATGCTCCAAAGTAATCTTGCAAGTGGGATTCTGACATGCTATGATATGATGCATATTGCGAATGCCCAGGCCCAAGAATGGTTTGGCTGCTTTTTTGTTCACATGGCGGTTTCCTCCCTATCAATTTATGTGGTGCCAGGTTATTGCCGTAGACTCACAACATGATACACCGAACTTGGTAGGTCTGGTCTGATGGGTAAAGATTTCCAGCTCCTTGACTTCACAATGGCGCAATCGACTTGCAAGGCAGCTTCCCATCCGACGAAGATGGCTACCCCTTCCAGCCTGCTGCTACTTCTGCATTTGGATGTCGCTGTCACGTGCAGAGAAGACTCCAAGAAAAGCTGTGGGGACTTGGAAGTTCTGTGTTCGCTGCTCTCGAACGCACTAGTAGGCAGTCTGTCAGATACTTCATGTCGTTTCCTTCAAGCGGGTGGATTAGATTCCTTCTACTGATGGATTATGATGGATTCCTTGCTTGCACAGTTTGTTGACAGACAGGCAGACCAGAGGTCCAGGCCGCCTAATTTGGGGTTCATACTCCTCCAGTTTATCCACACAATACTTCCCCAGGTCCAGATCATCCGATTCAGATCCGGCAGATCCGTCCATCAGATCCGGCAGATTGAATCGGCAGATGAGCACGAGCAGGGATCGGCAGATCTGACCATGCGATGTACATCAAACCTCACGGCCACGTTCGGCTGTTTTGCACACTGACGGAAAGAGGGAGGTTGGACCACTCCTTTTTGGAGTCCGACCAGGTCTGGTGTCCGGGGCCCGCGGATCTGAGGTTCCCAGAGAAGTGGACCATCTCAAGGATTTCAAGGACGGGGGCGGAATGAAACGACGGTGGAAGCCCACCGGCCGACAGTGGCCAGCGGGGAAACGGCGGAGATGCGAGGACGAGCGAATTGTCTCCTGGGTGTGATCTTCCTTGGTCTTCACCATAGAACTCTACACTACAGGACTGTGGGTCAAAATGAAGGATCTGCGAAACACAGGATATGGTCGATTTCCTCAGTACAAGGTGGTCAAGTGGTAGCAATTGAGGGCGACTGACTCCCATACGAGGACGATGATGCCAACTGCTGTAGAATTGTAGAGTTGAGCAAAACGCATGGGATGGAACTGACGGAACCTGCCTCCACTTACTGTTAGTCTTCCACTTCCATCTCAAGTGTTTGGTAAATTTCTGGCAACCAAACCAGTGTGGATCGATTGATCATCAACAGCTTTAGCCTTGGTTGTGAGAGTAGGATGACGTTGGCAGGTTCTTGATGCCTTCATGAAGCTTCAAGAAGCTGTCAGATAAACTAGTCATACAAGACACATATGATGAGTCAATGATACCGAAACGGAGAGAACTATACGATATCCGCGATTGTATTAGGCTATCATGTTGGGAAGTTTTGCAGATAGATCAAGTACAAGGCTGCTCGTTGGGCTGTATGATTATCATGCCATTTCGCACATGTCGCTCAGAGAACCTGGACCATCCGCCTCCTCCTTTCTCGTGGCCAGGTGATTGCAACGGCTTGCGGGGATGTCAGAGCCTTAGTTAACTCGAGTTTTGGGGCTGTGAGCCGTTTCGCATCGTGTGGCAAAGTATGGAAATAACTTCACAATCCAGAGTGACTGCAAGCAACAACCAAAGCAAGTACAACAAGACAACATTCAAAAGATCTGTTGTTTGGTGGAGAAAAATCACTACCAGAGTGACTACTCAACGCCCTCTTGCACCGGTTAGGTGCACACCTTGGCTTTGACGGATGATGGCTATGTCTACTCCTTTGGAGGTGGTTCCTATGGCCAGCTCGGGGTCAAGGACCGAACCAAGAGAGTCCAACTGGGCCAAGAGAAGGAAAACAACACCCTATAGGATGAAACATGAACCATTGATTGAACACGATTCAATGCTTTTTTCATGTGTTTGCCGAGCTTAAGGTTTTGTTTTTAACATTACAAGTATGTTGGTCAATTTGTCTCTGTGGTTTGGGAAAGCTAGAGGGTTTGTGGCCACCAGAAAATCTGAGGGGGCTTGGTCCGCAGGTACACAGGCAGCCGAGTGGAAAGGGAAGAACGGAAGAATGAGTCAAAACCTGTCGTGCGTCTCGACGGGGGGAAAAAGCAGGAGAGTAATTTGTTACAATGCAAAGGGGACATATGGGGACATCCCAAAGGATCCCAAAGAAATATTACTCCGAAGTGCTAAAGTCGTTGCGATTTTACTTTTTTGCCTTCACTCCATTGTGACTTGCGCTTTTGTTATTTCTGTTTAACGCTTGTATACGCTTGTGAGAGGACTTTCGCGTTTGGGTCTGGGTGTACATCAGCTACGAAGGGGAGGTATTGAGCCACCTCCAAGACCGGTGAACAAGATCGGCCTCAAAGCGGGTCTATAGTTGGTCATACCATCGAGGGTAAAGCAATGTCAATGTCAAATTATTGTCAAGCAATAACTCTTTGAACTGTGAAGACCAGAGTGACAAGGGGACACCCACGTGATCTAAGAGCAAAAGCATACCATGTTGTATGTTCAGCACATATTGGATGTTTCCTCCGGTTGCCTGGGTTCCTTTGATACATCATGATACATTGATGTCTATTTATATATATATGATATGTATAACATCTTCCAATCCAATTTTGGTCTTCCTAAAGAGTCAGTGGATTACTTGAACTGATCCGGAGCAGTTTTGAACAATCTGCGGAATGTGTTCCTATTCCCAAAGAATTGCGGTTCATTGTCAATCAGACCAAACCCGTGTCACCTGTGTCGGTTTGCGCGGAAGGATGTCCTTGCGATGCCTGTTGATGCTGATAATTGCACCTTGGACAAAAAGAGCAACGCCTTGTCATCTTTGGAGCTCCCTGCTGAGAAGCACCATTTTGTACTTGACCGTGGCCGTTGTGACTTGTGTCCACTAGTGATTTGCGTGTCCGGTGCAAAAAAAACCGAGGGCGCATGTCTAGGCAGGTCGCAGGGGGGAGGCGGTTGCAAGAAGATCAAGAAGGCTCTTAAACCCAGCGAATCCAGTTATCACTACAGTAGGTAACCAGCAGTGCCAAAGACTTACACCACCACCTAGAACTGTGGTTTCTTATATAGTGGTAACTGGAATCCACTGGGCAAGATTTGCTTCTCCCAAAAGGCTGGAGCGAGCTTTGCTCATCCATTGATTCCATGTGTATAAATATATATATACATGGATACATCGGAGATGGCGATATGCACATTGGAGGTGTAGAGACCTTGAAGCAGAGACCTTGAAGGTCAGTTTTTCTTTTTTTTCCCTCTTGTTGAGTGGACCTTGAGCTGGTCTATCAACGAATATCAAAGATATCAATCCTGTTTATGTCCTGTTTTCCTTGTTTCTCATCACTCAAATCATCAACCTGCAAACATGTTTCCAGCACTCGGAATGTGAAGTGCATGCCGGGTTCCCACTGCTGAGGCCCTTACATGCCAACCCCACAGTTGGTCTTTGGGTTGGAGGGCATCGTTCGCCTGGCTTGCGGCGATTCGCCCGGCGGCCTGAGCTGACTGCGAAGAGGATTGGTCTGAGATGACTCCTACAGATGACCTGAACCCAGAGTTGGGCTCGACATTGCAGTCAGGTCATTTGATGAGAAGGGCTGAGAAGGGTTCTCCAGGATATTCCGTGAACTTCAGGATGTTGGGCTTTTAGCATGATCTGCTCAGGTTGCTGTGTCAGAGGATCATGACATGAGGCTGACAGGCTGACATCCGCGCTGACAGGATTTGCCACAGTGTGTTGATTTTATCGAACAAAGCTGATCATAAATGTTCCCTGGTCTGGGGCCACCCAACTTCCACTAGACTACATCCAGGTCAAACCTGTGAGTAGTGGCTGGCTTCAGGAATCATTTCTTGTAATATTGTACTGGTTTACTTATCAATACTTACTGTATGTGCATCATGTTTTGTTGATTCGCATTGTTAACATAAGATGGTCAAAGGAACATTCTGCCGCTGAACAATGATCTTGACACAACGAGACATGTCCCTTGTGGATATGCGTTTGGCCTTCGACATGTATGCCGCTGTTTCCAGCAGACATCTAGTGAAACCTTGTTGAAGACGCAGTTGGCCTGGCCTAGCTCATATGATATGCCTAGAACCTAGCTCATATACAGTATATATGTAATATCAACATATGGTCCTACTCAAAAAAAAAGTCAATTGGGTTCTAGGTGTTTATATGGGTGAAAGCTGCTTTCCGCTGAAAGCCAGATTCACTTTTCTCCAACAAAGACGTCGCCCTACAAAGTCGCCAAAGCGTTGACTGAGGCACTCCTTGACGATTGACCGGGACGGGCGCCTCTATTGCGACTGGGCGGTATAGTTGTTTTCTAAGGCGATGCCACATACCCTGACCAAGTAGGACTTTTCAAGGAAACTCATCCTGGGTTTTCTTTGGTTGACCCGTGTTTAACCTTTCAACGTAGATCGAAGCACACTTTGTCCAATTGCTTTTGTTATACAGTTATACCACCTCCTAACAGCCGCCCAGTGCGTGCGTTTCAAAGACGTGGACACATGGTTCGTTCGGCGGATGCGGATGGATGTATGGAGTAACGGGTGGGTCAGAAAACCAAAAAGAACATGAGAATTCACCGTGAAACACCGGTGTTTCTGGTGATGTTCACTTGCAAATTGTTTTCAAAGACCGGAGCAAAGTGCATTGCATAATGACGCGTAATGCATAGGTTGATATGACAGAACTCATTTTGAAGAAAGAACACAAAACACGATCTGGAAACCACAACGGCTCATGGCCATGGCTCGATCCATTGGTAACGCACGTGTACATTGTACATACCTGGTAATTGTGCGACTCCATGCATGCAGAACCTATATAACAGAATCCATTCATGATGGCGCAGCCAATTGAAACTCCCGGCGCACCGGCTCATAAATCTTCTGAATGGACGTCTCATTGAGTGCAGTGGAGGGAAGGTGAAACAGCTTTTGTCTCATGTTGTGACAACAGTGAGAAGCTCGCAGGATTTGTTACAATCGCTTGAAATGTCTCAGCCAAACCAGATGGAAGTGCAACATGTCCTGCGAATCACCAGAGGGCCCAAGGGGGTTCGCCCTCGAAAAAAAGATTTGAAAATGACCGGCAAGGTACTTCCTCTAGAATCAACTAAGATTTGCTGTACTCCTCTGAAAGGGGAACCGAACGCCACGACACCGCCAAGGTTGGGGAGCCAACTCCTGTGGCCAGCCAGGGACCCCGGGGACTGGTGGGGACCAGGAAGAGACGCGTGGCTAGGTGGAGGCGGAGTCGAAGCAAGGTCAGCTGTGGAGAGTATTGGCATGTATTGGCCTATTTAGCTTATGTGAAGTCTACTTAGGTCCATTAATTAAGTTTGAGAGGAAATGAACGGACACATGGTCGGAAACATATTTAATATGATATACTGGCATATAATATGATGCGCGCTTCTCCGCAGTTGAATGTACGGAATTGGTCAAACTTTTGATGGTCTTTTCTGGCGGATTGCCAGTGGATCAACGTCGGAGTTGAATGTTTGGGGGGGTGTCAGATGGGTAATTAAGGTTTGAACATAAAGAACACGTGCCATGGTATTAGTCGGTTGCTAAGTTCCTATATTGTTGCCGTTTACTGTACATGTTTTGCCACCGTGGGTATATTATAAGCTGCTGGGTTTGAGTGAAGCCATGGTGGTCCAAAAATTAGCAAACACTGCACGTAGAGTGCAGGGAGCTCTGAAGAGGCACCAGTTTCCACATGTTTCCACCCTGTATAGTTTTTTTTGGCTGGGGGCTGGAGGTAGGCCGAAAAGAGGTAGCTAGTAGAGATTAGCTAGCTAGTACTGTACTTGAGCTACTAGTAACGGGACGCAGGATAGCTCACGCTTCTTCAAGGAAGCTCTCCCCACCGCCCTAAAGGAGGGGGGAAGCTTCCTTGAAGAAGCGCAGGCACTAATGATTTGGTTCCTACAGTGTTTTAGGGAAGCTTAACTAGGAGGAGCGTTCAAACAGAAGTAATTTGAAGCATTTTGAAGCTTCACTTGACCTCAACAACCATTGCTTTGTTTGTAGGACACGCATGGTGCTGGGCCTCTGCTAGTTTCATCGGGATTTCATAGCGTTTGCTCGGCCACCGATGGACACCAAAACAGATACAGTCCACCCAATCCTTTGTATCTTCCCAGACCATCCACGAATGGAATAGTTACATCCATTTCATTTACCCTATTCCTAGCCCTAATGGAAGCTACTAGTCCAGTCCCAGTCATAATCTGGGATACAGTGTTGGTAGATTTCATGCTGCTCTTGTATTAATGGATAGATTAACGTGATTCATGATATTTCATTGAATCTTATTGAATACGTTCTTTATTGATTGATCGATTTTACCAGGACATTGACAGAGATTCATATTTTATTTGATCGATCAATTGTTTATGGATCAGTCGATTATGTGACACATCGTTTTGGAGTATATGTATAGTATAGTGTATGGTGTGTATATGTACAGGTTACGGTTTGTACAGTATGTATGGCGCATATATTAACCATCCAATCCACCGTCACCCTCTCTTCTCGTGGCTTAGGCTCGGGATCATGAATCCCGATGACCCCCGAATACGGAAGGATCCCGACGGGATCCCGTTCGGGGCCCCTGGGTCACCGGCCGGGGGGGTCGCCGGTCGCGTTCTGTTTGGTGGTTTTTGTTCCCAACGCGGTGGATGGGAAGGATGAGGAGTTGGAGCAAATCCATGGTTTGGGTCCGAATGATTCGGAAAGGGCTCCGGAGGCGAAACCCTCGCCTGACCATCCACAAGAGGCCCTTTTTCTGGGCAAAGAAAATGTCCATCACTCCTATGCCCTATGCCAACCCAATTGCTCGGTCAAAATGCCAGTCTCACGAAGTGGTTGGACACAGAGGAATGGACGCGGAGGAGATCATTTCATCTCCAGACAAACACCTGGTGATTGCCAAGCTCGGGCAAGCTAGAGAGCGTCCAACAAAAAGCACGAGGGCTTCCTTCCAGCACGTTTTAAGGAGTGAGGATATATGGTCGGAGTCATGGTTGGGTGATATTCCTTGGTCTAGAGTCTAGTAGTGGCCAGCCATATGCATATTCTTTCGCCGCTCAGAGCACAAGTTCACTTGGGCAAAGCAACGCTTTCATCGGCCCCCAACAAAGCCAAGACATGGATCCCCAACTATCTGTCAAAACATGGATCATGAACTTAGTTGGTTCAGCACTCGCGTTGCGGCACTCGTACCTGCGCGTGCTGGCACTCAGAAGTTGCGTTGCAGCACTCTGTTTTGTAGGGACACCCCAATGCGATTATTTGCGTTGAACAAATGCATTTGGGAATTGGTTTTGGGTAGTAGAGTGCCAGAAGTAAAGTCTGAGCGAGCAGCCATGTCGGCCCTATCACCGGAACAGGTTCTGTTGCTGCGCCATGCAGGCCACTCTGTTGGGGAGGAGTGGCGGCATGTGAAATTTCCTGCTCGGGGCGTGAGCGAGCAACAGAGCAAGCTTGTGAAGGCATGGTTCCTGTATGTGCAGAGTGGCAACTCCAAGCCATTTTGGGTTTGTTCGAAGTGCCCTTGGCAGAACTCCATGAGAGGCTTGACCCGCCCATTGGAACACATGTGCTTTAAAGGAATTTCGCTGAAAGAGAGCTCGTACATCGAATTGCACAAGCTCAAGAAGACGTCGGACATTCCCCTACCCTACAGGGAATGGCTGGTTGCTTACAAGAAGCAGGGAAACAAAACGTCTGGTTGCAAGGAAGCAGCGACCAAAGACCAGATCCTCAATTGGGCTGCTTTGGGTATTCCTGCAGCTGTGCAGTGGGCCATTTTCAACCATTGGGTGCCAATAGATTACAAGCCATGTGGAGTTGAACGACCAGAAGAGCGGGTGCCAATCTCCAATGAGGAGGCCACTCGCAGACAGGTTGTAGCCTTTGTTTGCTCAGGTGTCGCCATGAATGCCGGCAATGGGTCACACTGGGAGAACTTTTTGCGTTACATAGCTCCTGATGTGAATCACCCAGGCAGGACCTTTTGCAATCATGCCTCGGTGTTCCAAATGCGGTTTTTCAACTTGAAAGAATGCATTTGGGTTGCTTGCTCCAAGTTCATCCTTCCATATCCTCAATGCGTTTTTTCAACCTCAGAAAGCACTGTGGATTTTTTTGTCTGATTTCACCCTTCTATGTCCCAAATGCGTTTTTTGAACTGGTTGCATTGCATCGGAGTGAGCGCCCGCAGGCCGAAAGAAGCTCGACTCTGCCTTGTGCTCGCTACATGAAGAATTGGAGGAAAAGATCGCAGCGCGACTGCAGGACCCAGCACATGGTCCTTGGTTTCTATCTTCTGATGGTGCCACGAACCGAGGGGATGCATTGGTGACAGTCGATGCTACCAATGCTCGGGGCGAGTGCTGGCATAGTTGCTTGGCTGATTGTGGTAGCCACAAGCAAGACGCAGTGTATTTGAAGGACAGGGCATGTGAATTTGCATCGGGTAAACCACGCATGTGAGTTCGTTTTGCACACTCATTCCTGTTTGAGGAGATTCTTCGAAGACAGGTCGCTTGAAAGTCAAGACAATTGCACACTCATTCCTGTCGAAGACAGCAGCTTTGATGGGCAACTTTGTTGGTTGAAGTTGGTAAGGGTCCGAATGCATTTGTTCATCTTCAAAGAAGGCAAGACACTCCTATCTCCTAAATGTGTTTTGTGGGGAGCTCACCCTTCTATGTCCCATATGCGTTTCTTCAACCTCAAAAAACGCATTGGGGACCCAAGCCATGGTATAGGTTGCAAGTGGGGTTTTCGGCCAATCCCTAGCACCAATGCATCCCAAGCAAGAAAACAATTGCATCGGGGAAGGCAGGGGGACTCAAAACCACACAAACATTGGAGCGTTGCGGGGCCAGCGTGCTGGCACTCAGCGTTGCGCGTTTTGCGTGCTGGGACGACTAAGATCATGAATGATCATAATCTATTTAAAAAACAAACATCGATCCGATCTGTCAAAATGAACGAACTCAGCAAAACACCAGCATCGACTCGGAACGAAGCTCCACGACCGACAATCGCCACCACGACCGAGCGTCGCGTCGCGTCGATGTGAATTAGAGGTGGTCCCTCTGACCCGTTTTGATATGTGTGTTTTATGTGGTGTGTTGTGTTTGACTGATCGCCATACCGGGAACCTTAAGGCAAAATCTAATGCAGTAACACATCAGTTCTCACTGAACCTCCACTGAATCTTGCTGTTGCGAGATATCTAAGTGTTGTGCGCGTTTGTGGGGTGGGTTGGAGAGTTTTTGTGCTGTTGCTGTTGCTGATGTTGCTTTTGAAAGTTATGATGTTTGCAATGGATTTCTCCGCAGAAATGAAGTCCAAGGCACTTGCCTACACCTGCCATTGTGGAAGCTCTCGCAGACCAGAGGACAGAGATGGGCTTTCTAGGATGTAGCCAGAAGTTTGCTTGCTGCAACAAATCCCAGTTCTTGACAGCTGCATAAACCCACTAGCGTAATGTCGGAGGGTTTCTTTGCCTGCTTTTTTGGCAACAGCCATTACCCAACCCATCAGTCCGCTACGCTTTGATATCTCACCTGGATCAAGAGTTGTTTAAACCAAGTCTTTTAGTACGCTTTCTGTACCCCAGAAATGGAAAAAACACATGTCTAAGTCTGCTCATGTTTGCCCTGAAAGAGTGTTGGATCTTGGTTGTGTGTCCAATCAGGGTCATCGCTTTCCGCCCCGTCTCCGCTTTCCGCCCTCCTGCAGGATTGTTGACATTGCTTGTGGGGAGGTCAGCAGCCGGGATGGTCATTTGATGTGCCGCAACACCAATGCCTCAAACATCAACAAACAGAACGAATGCAGCCAGTGAGTTTCATCCAATTTTCCACGGCCCTCGATCCTCAGGATCGAACATGACGGCTATATAATTGGTCCAATGGCCTCGACTGTTTGTTGGTCAACACGGTTGCCACGGGTTGCCCAGCCCAGTGTCTTGTTTCGATGTGACCGGCATTTTTGGTCGTGCGGCAGCGGCATAAATACTGATCTTGGGTGGTCAAACGACGTTCCAGATAGTTTCATTGCTGGAACCATTTGGAACTCATAAGCAAGACAAAAGAGAGCATGCATGAGCATGCAATGTTCCTCGAATTGATTATATAATGTAGCCAGGTTCTCACCAGTGTGTTCTGTTGTGGCTGTTCACCAGAAACAGCGGGGTGGGTCAGTTTAGACCCACATCTATGTGAGTTTGTCCTATAGTCTATCAAGATCAGCAAACTCTTGAATTCTCTTTAGTGGCATGGTGTGTGTTGAGATAGGGTCCCCAAAGACCTCACCGAAGAAGGAAAACATCCAAAACCCAGTGGTTAGGACCACTGGTTGGGAGATTTCCCTATTGAAATACACACAGCTCACGGCTTTTCGAGAGATGTAGAGGCTGGTGATGGAGGTTTTAGGAGAACATATACGTATACATAAGTCATGTTCCTACTTCAGTCGAGTCAAGGCATCAGCCATGCCTGGATCAACTGACTACATACTACAGTCAATATAGCTTCTAGCAGTGAGTTACTTTTGTGGGGAGAATGGTGCAGAAAGACCGTCACCTTCGGAAGCACTTTCGAAGAGCCACCGGTCAGGCGCACTCCCTGGCAGTGTCGGCCACTGGAAACCTGTACAGCCGGCCACCCTGGAAGGGTTCAAGGATAGGCTCAACTTGCAGACCTGACGAAAGTGGTTGTTGCATGGCTGTATATGTTTTTTGTTTGGTTGTACGGCTGTATATTGCATTGCTAATTACAATAATTACAACAGTACTTATAACATGTTGATGTTACAATTGTAAGTGTTGTTGTTCCTGAAGTTCCTGAACCTTCCTGAAGGGATTCCTTCGAGACAGAAGAACATCGGTGTCAGAAACAACATTGCTAGAAAGCCTCAAAAAGTGCTGCAAACCCTAAAAGACACTCACAGGATTTTAGGGAGCCCTGTCTTCCCAGGCCATAGGAACCCAAAGAGCACACAACAAAAATAATTACACGCATACAGCATACAGTATGTCCTTCCTGGCTGCTTATATCAAACCAGGTAAACAAGGACTCCCCCTCGAAAACTGTTGCCTCTCTTAGGTCGTTTGAAGACTAATGCTGCTAGCCTCATGCCAAATTGTCCTCTCTCCATGAGCTGCTGAACCTTCGACAATTTCTTCACACGCACTGCTGCAAGCAAATGCACACTAATATGAGTATCCCTCCACTTTTTAAATGCGCGCCCATTTTGCGGAAATTTGCGCGCAAAGTAAAGTGCGAGTGTCAATTTGGGGATGCCGCGATCGAAAAAAGAACCCGTACCTTTGGGGGATACCTTTGGGGGATGAAGTGTCTTTTTTCCTTCCTGGCAACTCTGGCCAACTTGATTGGCTGCGGTGGTGGTTCGCCATGTGCTTCAATCTGCTTTACCTCCGTCAAACTGAAGGCCACATGCATGTTCTGCGGTCACACACTGTAGGCCTGATGGATCAGAACCTTCGCCTGTCAAGGGAATTGAGGAATCCCTGGGTTCAAAGGACATACCACAAAAAGACTAACCCAAGTTAGTCCAACATGTAGCTCAAAAAGCGCTTGAAGCTCCTTAAAAACACTCATTTCATCGAAACTTGTTACAAACGACCTGTTCGCTACAAAATTGTTCTACAAATGACGCGCGGGGTCGTCATTGCAATTTAGATGTGAGAATTGTAGTAGCTGTCGTGGTAATTGTAATTGGTGTTGTTGTACTTGCAATTGTAAATTGTAAATGTTGTTGTTGTAATTGTAATTGTGATTGTTGTTGTAGTATTGTAAGCAGCCGGTGCATTGCTCCTCTGATTTCATTTGCATGTTCCTTCTTTTATATCCCCCAACGCATGGGCTACTCCCATCCTGCTCACCATGGAACGCCCAAAGATCTCCAATATCCAGACATAGCATGCCACTCCTTGCTCCATAGCATGCCAGTCTGCTGAACACAGTCGGGTCGTCCAATCAATCAAGCAAGCAAGCAAGCAAGCAAGCAGTCGACGAACTAAGCAACTAGTATTAATGAATCAATCGATCAACCCACCCACCAAACAAGCAAACAGGATCATACCCAACGTGGCTAGGCCCGATTTGTTTGGCCCAACCACCCAGGTTGGGGTGCTTGCTCTTGTGGTCAGCTGGGCCTGGGCAGTGTGGGGCCCAGAAACATAGTGGTGGGTTTCACCATACATCATTCATGTTCATATTTATACATGATGTATGTTGATTTGAGGTCAACATGTTTGATCATTCTTGCACCACATGTTCTAAGTGGTTTTGTAAACATCCAGAAAGGATCTCATGTGTCTCATAATGGGAGTAGTGCCCTCCGTGAATCAGCGGCAAAACCGAAGGGTCAAACCGTGCCCTCCGCCTTCAACGGTGAAGGACTGGACTGGAAGAAGCGGCCGGTGGGCGGTGTCTTCTTCCAGCTTTGTCTGGAGTTGTTAACCCAACAAAGCAAAAACAACATACTGCAAGGGAGATGGAACTCCAATGATTCATTAATGATGATTCATGGGTGCAACAACTCTGGCGGTTGAACTCAGTTCACACATTCGTCCACAATCTTGCTGTGTTTGGGTGAATCGACTTGTGCTGAGATGAACCAAGTCATCAGTTTTTGGTGTCGTTACATGCACCCACGACCGATCTTGTTCATGACCTTTTGCTTCACTGGCACGTGAAGAAGGTCAAACAGATCATAAATCATAGTAATTATCCGCATCAATAGCATAATATACTATTTGCCACATCACATACCCCGCTCACTGTGTGTTGGTTCAATAGGATTTGTGCAAAAATGTGACGCAAAAGGCTACACAAGGTTTTCCTCCCTAATTGACCATGACCACATGTTTGGCATAGCCCGAACCGGAATTGCTTCCAACTAGGACGTTCATTGACATTCCATGTTTCGGCCAAGATCCTTGCGTCCAATCCAGACATTTCCAGACACCCCCATGGCCGACACTCCATGTATGCCATATTTGCCTACATTGGGATGGTTTTGGAGGTCAATGTAGGCATATATGGCATACATGGAGTGTCTGGCCATGAGTTCTTTCTTTCAATTGCGAGTCTCGTCACCGACTGGTCGTTCTCCCGCAGCCACGACCGGTGCGCTACCGATCGATTCACACGATCAGTCTCACCGGTGCTCCATGAACGACGCCGCCGGGCCGCCGAAGACGTCCGCGAATTTCGTGGCGCTGACGCCGCTCTACTTCTTGGAGCGCGCTGCGGAGGTGTTCCCTGACAGGCGCGGCGCCTTCTCCGCGCGCGAAGGGAGCGGAGAAAATTCAGCGCCCCAAAACAGGTAAACTGGAAAGGTGGCCATTTTTCGATGGAGATCGAGAGATGTCCGGAAGATGGCATGGGACGTTCGAGATGGCCCTTTCGGAGTCCAACGGACCTATATTTTACGGTCTTTAGATGTCTTTATAGGTGACTTCTGGTGAGCCTCGTCCGTCGCTTCGGATCCCAAACATCGTCTGTCCAGGACCGCACTCGAGTGGGATGCAAGAGATGAGTCAAATCACGTTTCACAGGAACGCGTGATCAAGTGAGGTCGATCCTTCAAAATGGACGAATAATGCCATCCGCCAGGACCTTCAAAGTGACCTCGTTGGAGACTCTAAGTGACCTTTATAAGCCTAAGTGATCTCATTCTGGGATCCCAAAAGGTTGTCCTGACTGGTGTCCGGGGTCTAGTCGACTAGGGACTCCTCATGCATCGACGTTCCCCTATCAACCGTTTTTACTTATAAGCACTTGTACCCTTGGCCGTTGCCCTATTTCGCCTATATGTGGACTGTAGAGTTTGGAGGGTTCATGGGGGTTCAAGGGCCGAGGAGACAAGCAGCCTCGTGCTGCTCTTCTTCGCCGCGTGGTTTCCAACGACGCCGTAGCAACGCGGTCTCGGTCGCCGCGCCAGGCTGGCGATCATTCATGGACCTGTGAGGACGAAGCGAGGGGGTTCTGGGACGGTTCTGGGCGCCAAAAGCGGTTTCATGAGGCCAGTTGTTTTGGGGGTGAATAGAGGAGGAGTGGTGATCACCCGATTTGAGAGATGTTTTTTGGTTGACATCGTTGTTGAGTTGTAGACAGACAGGCGGGATGATGAACATTGTGGTCTTTCATGGCTGGACATGGATCCCAGTTTTACCGATTCTGGTCCAGTCCGGGATCAAGTTCGCGTTGTTTCCTACTGTAGAATCATGGCTGTTTGATGCTGACTGATTTGTAATATAACCTGGAACCCCCAACAACCAGAAAGAAATTGATGTTTCCCCAAACAACCATATCCTACGTAAAGGATTTCAATTGCCATATTGGAACAACCATTTGTTTCTGGTTGTTTTGGGTTCCAGGAAGTAACATTGATCGTACCAGTGGTATAGGTTGGTGCGAACCCTGGTCAGAGTGTGCTTCAACGTGAGTGTTGATGGGGATGTGGTGGGCATGAAGGATAAGTACATGTAATAGAGAGACTTAGGGGATGCGTGGAAAGTTCAAACAAAGGGGTTCAGGATTCTTAGCCAGCTATCTCCTCACAAGTCAAGTTCAGACGGTAGAACCTCCAAGCCTAAACAGAGCAATTCCGTCACCCCCATGGGTGCAATTCCGTCCGGGCACGTCTCAGAATTTCTGGGCTTCAGCCGCCAAGCCGCTGTTGTGAGTCTCAACATGGAAATCCGTCCCCAGTGGTGCTGGGTCCCATGTTCTGCTTCATAGTCTGGCGTTTTCACCGGGTTGAAGGGAATTCTTCAGAGCTGACCAGGTCCCGGGGTCTCCCCACCGGTGGGACGGTCCCAACGGACCGGACCCGGTGGGACAATGCCGTCCTTTGGCGGATCCTGCGCTCTACCACCCCACATCCAGGAGAACATGGTCGGAGGTCTACGCTCGGAGTCGGCAATTGTGCTCTGCACTGAAGAAACGTGGGATTGGCAGAGGAGACGAGCCTTGGCTTGATGATCGGTCACGTCATTGGGCTTTAGTCACGTGTCGTACCACAGAAGCAACATGCCAAACCAAACTAAGTCTTGCGACTCTTGGCTTAGTCGCACCACTGCAGTGCGTTTGCTGGAATGTTTGATTTGGCGCCGCCTTCGCCTTCTCAGGGGGAGTTCTGAGGGCCAAAGGCTTTGGGCTTCAGTTTGTTCAGAACAATTTGCCACGGATCCTCGAGTCAAACATGCCAGGGGACCCCGGGAGAATTTGCCTATAGCAGTTTCAACATGTCTTAGACTTCATAGACACACACACACACACACCCAGGTGTTGGCACCCCCATTTTGAGACAAGCGCATTGGTTAGCGCAGACAGTACAAGTGTGGGTGGGTATACCTTTATTCGGATCTTGGTCAATGATGTTCCTCTTTCTATAGTGACTATAGTGGTTGCACCCACATCAAAGACAAGCTGAGACTGACATTTGTGCTTTGCAACTACAGCAAATGCTTTACACCAGGCGGATTTGTTTTTTGTATTTAGAAATTGTTTGATCCAGGACAATCCGTTGTTTAATATCTTGCCCGATCCACCCGTTTGCAGAGAAAGGTCAATTTAAAGAGGATCGAAGACTGTATCCAGATCGAAAGACAATTAAACTAATACCTAAACACCAGGTACTGAGCCAATTACTAGACTATTAGACTAGATCGCAAGCAGGGGTAGACGCATGACAACAACTGGGACAGCCGGACTCCGGACAGAGTTTACACTGGTCTTCGGTCCCAGTCGGGGGACTTTTGGGTGCCTGTGGACTCAGGTAGTCTCGGTGCTTTTGAACAACTCTCCAGAGCACATCGAGGCCCCCGCAACTCATGGCGCGTTTCCGGCACCTGCGGGGGTGGTCGTATACCCCCCACGCAGAACTTCCGTGCGGAAAGGGTGGGTGGCCGCAAAACATCGTGGCCATCAGAGATCCGGTGATGATGTTTGGCCCCAAGCAAGCTGAATATGGGGGTATGGTTATGGTTCGAATCTGGTTAGAAGATAAATTGAAGTTAGGATGTTATGAGTTCTTCTTGGAACCAAACCAAAGAAAGATGGATTTGGTGAAACAATCCACAGCAACCGACCCTGCGCGGTCGGTCGCTACGTAGCGTGACCGACCGGTCGACCGGTTGACAGTGGCTGAAGGATGTGATGTCGCTCGCACATGCCATGTATAAAACAGCCAAATACATGCAATGTACATGCAATATTATAAGTATATATATGATATGATATGCAATGTAGATCAATGATATGCAATGTAGATCAATGCAATGCAATGTATAGCACATGTAAGAGTCAAATGATTAAACATATTATGAACAGGAACGTGATGGAGATATGGTGCCATGCTCCCTTAAACATACTCATTGATACTCATTGTAGGTCCATGACACACCTGTGTGCAAGTCGTTGGACTGATATCATTTCAGGTGAAGACTCAGAGTCCTTGGACGTGCTGATGTGTTCAAAACAGTGTTTTTTTTTGCCTCATGAGTGTTTCATGTAGGGGATATAGTGTTTTTTTTTTTTTAAGAGGTTCGATGGCACGGGCGCCTCTATTACAAGTCCTTTAGATGGGGATCCATAGAGAAAACACCAAACTTGGGGGCCCTTGCGTCATATAAGATTGATGGGGTCTGCATTTTCAGAGGTCTCAGCGTCTGAAACGCGCCGAACGTTCACGCGCGTCCCACTGCGCAGCGCGGTCGCAGGCGCACTTCGGCATCCCAATGACTGGTGCCGTGTTGAACCCTTTGAACTATCGACTGGACTCGCGGACCTTGAACTTTATGCTCTCCCATGCGGAGGGGAAGATCCTGATCGTGGACCGTCGCCTGGAAGAAGAATAGCATGTGTATGGGTCGTTGACAGAGGGACGACGCTTTTATTACGCATGGAAAAAGACAACACATGCCTTCCTCTCCACGATACGGCGAAGGGCGTCCCCTTCCTCTCCACGATGCATTCAAGACGATGCATCGGCGCCCAGAAGGGTCGGTTTGGCGTCGATGGAGAAGGGTCTGCTATTTGATGATGCCGTTTTTATGCCACGTGTTTTTTTTTGCGATTGGCGGTCAATATATTTAAAAAATGTTACATTACACCATAATAGTAATATATAATGTATAATGTATATATATATA